CGATTGAGATTGGGTTTTTTGAGTTGGATCCATATCCAATAACACCCTATAAGTTGCGGAAAGTTATTAGTCCGAAATTGGCGCTTATTTCAGTTTTGTATTTACGTGGCAAAATCGATATGAAAAATACTTCCATGAGTAGCTAGCTAGCCACCATTTATGTTTACAACATGGCAAATGAAAATTTGGCGGAACAAGACCTTCATTATCGTTGAAATTATGAACTTGTGTATTATGATGACTCGTAACATTCGTTAATTTGTTGTGGCCTTGTCCTTACAGGCAACTTATACGTGGGTTCAGTTTTAGTCGGTGTTTGTTACGGTTCACAATGGTCGTTAATGCCCACCATAACTAGCGAGATATTTGGAATTTCGCATATGGGGACTATATTCAACACCATTGCAATTGCGAGCCCTTTGGGATCGTATCTACTGTCTGTGAGGGTAATAGGGTATATTTACGACAGACGAGAATCGGGCACGGATGGCTCTTGCAGTGGCACTCATTGCTTCATGTTGTCCTTTTTCATAATGGCTTGTGTTAGTTTTGTGGGGTTCTTGGTGGCTTTGGGTTTACTGGTTAAGACAAGGGGAGTTTATGCTAGGATTATACAGAGAAGGATGTGGAGTTGAGAATATGCCCAGATGAACTCAAGTGTAAAGGAGATTTTGTTCGATTTTTTTTTTTTTTTCTTTTTTCCCTGAGATTTTGATAGTACATGTAGCCATAATAAAGTATATTATATTGAATTATCCTTTTCATGTAATTATATACCCAAATGTGTGTACCCAAAAATTTATGTGTAGCAGCACCTTCAATGGTTTTCGAACAGGTGATTTACTTTAATTGTATTTCTCATTTTGTATTCATGCTGTAAGATACCATTGACTTGTTTGTTATTTTGTTTGATTTGTAATTAATTTGCTTGAATATTCAGTCTCCTTGATATTATGAGGCAGTGAAAGATTATTTAACACTGGACAATGGACACTGCAATTTGGTTCGATGTCAATTATAACAGTTGACAAGGAAACATTGTCCTGGCTTTATTTTTCAGTAAATTAATACTTTTTTTTTTCAACAAAGAAATTCATTAACTCAATATAGCAGTAAATTAATACTCACCAGGGAAAAACATACCTCATTTGGTACAAACATTATAAACTTTCCCTGCCTCAATCTTTTCCTTTCTGGAACAATCTTTTAGAATGAGTTGTCAGTTTCAAAGAGCAAGGAGAAAAACCCAAATATTCCTTGTTCTGGGCATATAAATATGATCTCATGTCCTTAATTGACACTAGAGTAACGCTAAAACATGATGCTGCACTTTTCAATTCATACTCATAATATGTTGATTCATTTGGCCAATCAACACATAATAAGCAAAACATTCTCAATATGTATGATTCATTTGGACCAGCAATTTTCCGTCATTATCATGGCAATACCAACAGTGTCATACAGAAGATTCCCTCCTAAGAAGTTCCCCATAAACTATGGGTAAAAAAGGACTCAACGCTCGGCATCTAATCTGTACATAATTTGTATTTTTACCCAAGTTCGTAGCAGTCATTGATAATCAACCAGCAAATTCTTATTACTATCTTCAGCCAAAACTGGATATGAGAAGATTTAATCACATAATTAGACGGCCAGCTACAAAATAATGGCACGCACATCAGTACCTTGGTATCATGAGCATCAAACCTTAACTCTCACGATCTCCCAAAAAAATTGTCGAAAGTTCCTTCTCATAGCTTCATAAAATCCGTTCCCATTTTTTTCTCCACTCTGACAAAATTGGGTGTTGTATTAACATTGTAGTTTTTTCAAGTTGAGCTAGCTCAAAAGCGTTATAATAAGTGCAGCTTGGTATGTCTTGTCAGGTCAAACACTGAATACGGCCAGCTCCATGTCTTGTAAGTAACATTTGAATGTCCATAGTAAGTACTAATTTACAGCTTCAAATAAGAGGACTTGGGGTTGCAAATGTCCTTTTCCACACATTATAAGAACATCATTCCAGCCACCAATTACCTAGAGATGATAGAGAAGTTTGCGTATAAGCTCAAGAATATGACATTTTTTTAAGTATATAAAGTATTCCTGAGGTTAAGCCTAATTACAAAGGAAACCAAAAAAAAAAAAATGTTCATGTTGTATATGTCAAGTTACTGAATAAACACCCCTTGTTGGGAGTGCAATACTGCAACTTGTAAAACAGAATACATCGGGGGAATATTGATAATTTCCAAATACAGATTGTATTTCTGTAATTTGACTGAACCCCAGAATAATTATTGTATCAACACAAATGCACACAAATTCCAGCCAAGGTTTAGAGCATGGTTACCTTCACAGTTTGGTCATCATACATAATCCACTGTTCATGATCGTGACTGTAGGCAAAACAGTGATAGTGTTGTCCATAATAGCAAACCTAAAACGAGACCAAAAATAAAATTAAAAAATTTGAGAAGATCGTTAGTCAGTGGAATAGTGTTCTTTTCTCTTGATTCACTTCTTTGCATTGTTTTTTGTGGCCAATTAGCCTTCGTTTGTAATTACCTTTTTAGAGCTAATTATATTCATCATTTCAGACAAAAAATAAAAAATAAAAAAATAAATCTGATTTTAGTTTTTCATAGGTCAAGCATGGTACCAATTTTCATCATCCAAAACATTCCTCTTTAAAATAACAGGGAAGCGACATTGCAAAGATTCACAATGTACCACAGCAAAGCTCACTCTCACAAATGATTATAAGGAATAATGTAAACAACAAAAATCTTTCACGCTGAAAAGAATTTAGAGAAGCATACCACTGAAACCAGACGGTGTCTACTCTGGGGATCAAGACCACGATAAAGGACACTGATATCTATCTCAGTGGACAAGGCTGCTAATGTCGCCATTATATCATCAACATTCTCGGAAGTATTCTGCCAACCCAGGACTACAAGAAACAGGGAAGAAATTCATTTGTAACAAAACAGAGTGCCAACTGATCGGTACAAGACCACAATAAGAATTTACAAAGAGAATGTGAAAAAAAAAAATGATATATNAAAAAGAAAGAGATACAACAAGAGTACTAGTCGTATAAGAAACAAATCACCTGTTGTGAAAACGTGTGGTGGCGAGGAGAGAATATGATGGATATAGTTGAGCTTCCCGCAGCCGCTAACCTCAGGATCACAAGCTAATTGATGATTCATCTCAACCAGGTTCAAAACTTCATCAAATGAGCTATCTGGGCACATAACCTAAAATGCAAAATAAGAATTTCAATACTGACAATGCAATGATTATAATTTGGTCACACATTGATTCTTCTACCAGCCAATCTCCTCCAGCCACAACAGCACTACAATCACAGATAATATGAAGGGATACTAACAAAGTTGCCCAGGGTTTCGGCCTAATTATTGAAAAAAAAAAAACACTTAACAGTTATCTTCTAATATAACAAATACCCACACACTCTTGAGGTCATATCTACCTATTCTAAGGGATACAATCTTTAAAAGCTAAATATATGTCAATAGGTACTTATAATTCTGAAAGAAACCTGATATTAGTATTAGGCTAAACCTCAAGGTAGTATTTGTAATAAACCTTAATTTAAGACTAAAAAAAAGCATGCCTTCATTGTTCTGACAGCACTGGCATTGATATTATGAAAGAAAGATGTGTATTTCAGGTGTCTGGACTCCAAGCCACAGTTGTAACAGTTCATTCTCTCAAATATATCCATTCCAAAAATTGAGTGTGCAATGCAAGAAGCATTTGTGCAGTCCCAGGAACCAGTACAGCTAGTATCTACTAATCTCGTATCAGTCACTACAGATGCAGGAGTAAATGATCGATGAAGACAGCTAAATATTACACCCAGCACTTCCGAAGCATCATTCATCTGACCCTGCACGGTTGCACACATCATTGTGCCCAGTAAATTCCTTGAGATCTTACCACTGAGAAGAATTACTCAGATAAACAAAACAACAAATGCTGCAGTCGTGAGATTTACCTTCTGGAAGAAATTACTATCAGGGTACAAATTGCTTAAAGCAACTCTAAGAGAGGTTGGGGCAACAGGTTCTCTTCTATTATCTTTGGATACCATACCCAGAGCATTGAAGATGTCATACAAAGCACATGTAACACAAGGATCACCAACATGAACGTGTTCTGATGACGACCTTCGCAAAAAATCATCTCGGAATCGTCTTAGGTGCCACAAGGACTGTATTCAAAGGATAACAAAAAAAGAACAAGTGTTCTCAGGCTAAATGAATATTGTACATTGAACACAAAAATTGGTGGAGGACAAGAATATTCAACAAGATATAGAGAATAAAAGACTCCTAAAACAAACCTGTATTACAACATTGAGAAAGCAATTATATTCACCAACTTCATTCATAAGCCCTGTTCCATAATCATCCATACCATTATCTGTCACAGCTTGATCACGTGAAACACTAGAGTCACTGGTTTCTGGAAGCTCCTTTTGTGGAGCTGCTGCTGAAGTTGATTTTAAAGGTAAATTTCCACGTGACTGAAATGCATCTGAAACAAATATATTCAAGACATAAGTGAAAATGCCACATAGAGCAGACAAGGTTTCTCCACTCAGTTTTAACACTGCAAATTTGTGTTGCTAAAGGAGCACATAAACGTTAATATAACAAAAGCAAAATCTTTGGTAGCTTTGTGGCTTTTCCAAACCTTCAACATCCAACACAGCTATTCAAAGGTCAAGGATCTTCGTCAGAAATTTATGGAATAATGAGGACTATGGTATGCATAAAGTTAAAACTGAATATGAACTAGAATTAGTCTATTGCGATCAGTATAAAGACACTCATCTCAGGACCCCCACCAGAAATGCTGCCTTCCCAAAGTCATTAGCAAGTTAGCCTAGATCAGCTATGTTAGAAGTTTATGTTTGTCCCACATCGATTAGCTATTAGGCTGTTATTGTGTATAAGTCTATCAGGCAGCAAACACTTTGACCTAGCTTCTGAGGATGAGTTCTCCCCAAGCCCACTTATCAAGCCAGTAGTTTGTACTACGTATCATACATTCACCCACCACAATCAGTAGTTTGTAAAATACACAATCAATTCAACAGAACTGTGGCAACACTATAAACTACAAGCAAACCAAGATGAGAAAAAATAAGGTGCATATGAATCAACAGGAATATTACAAGTCTTGTTGTAGAGACTATAAGGTGCATCCATACATAACTAATAACTTCCACGTGCTGATGCAAGTAATATCATTGCAGGAAAGGATAAGAAAAACTTAAGCTTCTACAAGTAATTAAGTAGCAGCCATGAGAACATTCAATTATAGCAAAACACTAGTTTTCTATTCCTCGCATCAGAGCTCTTGAACAGAAAACAAATATATTATATACCGGGGTAATCAAGTCAAGAGTAGGTTCACCATAAAGTCACAAACAAAAGAAGACAAGGAAAAAGGAAAAGATGAAACGTACCGAGGCTTTGTTGTACAGCTTTCTGTAGATCAGCTTGAAACCTCTCTTCATCGTCGTCCTCAGCCTGGAGTTGTCTCAATGTCTTTCCTCCAATATCTATACGATGAAAGTATCAACCTTAATATCTGTTAAAATTCAAACAAGCTACAAAAAGCATAAGGTAAAAATAAATATCTTACAGAAAGGGGAACCTGATACAAACAAAGTCGTAATAACAGCAGAACTTAACTTTTTTTTAAATGGTGAAGGTGCATGCTAACGCACACTCAACTAGAACACATATTGTGTTTAAATCCTAGAGCAGTTCAAGAAGGTTGCAAGGAATTGAAGGATTTGGGGGTAACAAGAATGTAATCAGATACTAACAAGTAAAAATCAATGTCAAATCTTGCAGCACCAAGGTATTAACTGTCAGCTATTTTTATTGTCATCAAATGGTGGCTTTCTTCCCTAAGTCATTTGATATCTTTCTGCACCAGCAATTACAACAATAGTGATTCTTCAAAATAAATGATAATCAAAACCAAAAAGGAACAACCCACTCATGGTTTTGGTTCCTTCATCCTCATTCCTCAAGCTCGTTTATCTAAGCGGAAAGAACAAAAGATATGTATGTGTGTGAATATATATATATATATATATATATATATATATATATGGAGTGGACCCAACAAGGACCATTCTTAATATGAGTGCATGGGGATTAATCACAACCATCCATTTGAGCTAAATACAATGGATATAAAATGATTAGAGAAATGACATAATTTCATCCTTCTATATACGCATCCCTGAATACGTTAATGTGCATGAATCACCTTTCAAATGAGCAGTAACATAGTGGTTTAGAAATTAAATGCTTATTATACTTTTGCTTCTTAAAAGTAATCTAATCCCTATATTCTTGCAGGAAGTCCTTTCAGGTGGTCCAATCGACAAAGTAACGAAGGCTTACAATATTCAGAAATTCAAAAGTCCTGATCAGAAGGGACAATCATGGCCACTTTCCATAACAGAATGTATGTTAGGGCTGTTAATTATACAGGTTACAACTTTTCTCTAAAAGTTAAGCTTTCACAAAATTACCAACCTCCAGAGTTTCATTTCATCCCAAACGAAAAGGACGAGAAGGATATTACAGCCCCATAAATGTTACAAATCCAAAACTGATAAAGACTAGCCAAATCTGGACATAATCCAACTGAACCGCCATATAGGTGAACTCACTTTTGGCAAATAATGCAATCAGATTAGGAAACTCAAATACAACAATGTATCTCATGCAACAGATCTGTGACTTCCCAGAAGCATATTATTAATAAAATTATCCCAAGCCAATAACGAGATCAAAAACTATCATCATTCAAAACTTCCTATGATAAATGATCACAGAAGCAATTATGTATTTCTACTCAAACAATGGATTTACACAGCACGAGAAAATAAGAAATGACACTCAATATACGACTTTAATTAGAAATACATACCAACATAACCATTTGAATTTTGCCCAAATCTCGGCTGACCAGCATCACTATCTTCCTTTTCAGATGTCAGGGGAGGACATTTTCCATCACTTAATTTGGTGGTTAGACCCTTACTCCGTCTACCCCTCCTACTCATGCGCCGATCAGAAGACACAGCCCCTTCTTGTGAAATACCTCCAATTGGTAAGCCTGCAAGAGCAATTAAGTTTTTTGACTGAAATGGTAAATTTCACACTTCTGCTATATCAAGAAAAAATCCTACCACTTAGCAGCATAGCCCCATTTGTAGATATATCCAGCACACCTTCTGAAACATCAGCAAATCCATCCTTCTGGAGAAAAAAGAACCCCAGAGATAGTAAAGTTTTCAACATTTTAGATAAACAATATCAATTCCTCTTCCTCAAACAAAACTGAATACTTTTGGAGCTTGAAAGCAAGCCATTCTTTCAATGCTATAATAAATAGATCATGACAGAAGTTACACGTGATTGGAGAAAATAGATTACAGGCAATTATACCTTCCTGATTGTTGATAGGTCATTCACATCTTTGTCATCAGTGTAGGACTGCAAATGTGCATGAGACACCGCAACTGGTTCTGTTTGTACTTCAGCAGCTCTCGAGTATTTCTTATGCTGTTCAGCAAGATGCTTCTGTTTCGCCTCATTTTCTATCCGTCTTTGATATTCCAAAGTTTCTTCAAGCTTCCTCTCCTCAGCTTCAAGTTCAATTTTATGTTTGTATTCCTCTTCCTGTAGTCGTAAAGCATCATCAACCCCAGGATCAGCAAGTGCAGGAACCAGATCCTCTGCATCATAACCACTAGGAAACAATCTGGAGCAAGATACGTATTAAGCAGTGATGAGATTCAAAGCTAAGTATATCGGAGAAAATAAACTAGAACTCTAGCAGGATAGGCATGAACATGTGATATGAGGGAACAAGGTTTATACATCTCTTCAGATATTTGATTGGGCGGCTCATCAGACTGAGTAGCCTGCAGATGCAACAGAACCAGTATTGAGAACAATTAAGCAAATACCCAGCATCCCTTAACTTGAATATAGAAATTGCAACGTCTGGTTACAAGATTTAAACCTTTGAATCCTTGCTTTTCCGGCTCTCCCTGCTTTTCTTCTTATCCTTAGTCTTCTCGTGAGCATGTTTTGAATTATCAACTCCAGAACTGATGCCTTTCTTGGAATCCCGAGCAAGTTCAGCCAAAAATGCCTCCCTGGCGGCATCAGATTTTTCTCTGGCATCTTTCTCTGCCAGATCCTCCAGGCGTGCCTATAAAAAAAAAAAAAAATCAAGTCTCAATCATACCTGCAAAATGCAATGGTAATGTTGAGGACCTTTTGGGAGCAGGTGCTTCACCTTCCCAAGATACTCACCCGCATAAATGATTTTACTAGAGGGAGTAGGATGGTTCTAAAATCATGGGAAGAGGCAGGCTCAAGATCTACTTCTAACTGCTGCATCGCCACAAGTATCTGCAGTATTCTTGCTTCCATTTTGCTTATCTGAATCATCACTGGAAAATATAAGATGAAGACGCATACATAAAATGTAATAACAAAACTTCCAACTATATCGCCAAACCTCACTAGAAACTTGCTCTTTCTGTCTCTGTATTGAAACTTCTATGCAAGAGTCCACCTGATGCATATGGTCTTTATCTCTCCAATCATCATCCTCACCAGCTTCTAGGTCACAAAGATGAGAAGCAACATCATTGTATGTTTCCTCAAGGCCAAATTGGTTACCGTTTAGTGACTCTGCGTCCTTCAAAACATTTGTAATGGCATCTAACTCAAATCTATTGCTGAAAATGGTAACCTCGTTGTCGTTTTCGATAAGTTCTTCACGTCTTCTCCTGAGAACAGATTCATAACTGCAGCGGACCAAAATTGTAGCAAGTTCTCTTCTCTTTCCCTCTTCCATACAGAGATCCTCCACGGCCTGCAATGCCTCCTCATAACTCATGTGCTCACATTTTCTCTCACATAAGCCTTGCAGATGGTAAGACTCCTTCTCAAGCAACTGGAGAATCTCCAAACCCTGCTGAGCTTTCTCATCTTTCATCCTCATCCAGGATGCCAATTGTTCACCACTCGAGGGGCCTTTAAATATCCAGGACAATAATGCATCTGAATCAAGTATAACGCCATTCTCATAGTGCAAATGAGATGAAATTACTGCACTGGAAGAATTAATGGAATCATCAAAAGATAAAGGGGCCTTGCAGGGGAGAAAATGCTCATCAAGGACCAAATATGAATCGTCTTGACCAAAAAATAACTTCTCCGAGATCTCAATACCTCGTGCCCGAGTATTTGAATCTTCTCCAGCATTACTTTTACCAGAATATCTATTTAGTCCACAAGCATGTGAGATTTCCTGTAAAAAGTTCAGGATTTTCTTAAGCTCTGGGGCACCCAAGAAACAGATGCAGATAGGTGATTGTTCCAATTTGGAATGGAGCAGCTTTGAACCACAGGCAAGACTCTGCAGCTCCTCCACTGCAAAATTAATAACCTTGCTAAGGTGACTTGCTGCCAGATATTTGTTTTTAATAAGTGTCTGGAAAACGCTATGTATTCTGTCTAGAAGCTTGGCACGCTCAGGGTCATCAGACAAAGGCCAATTTTCATTTAGTAAATTTTCCTTACTGCTGCGATCTCCATCACAGTCCATCCACTCAACCCCTTCAAACTCCCTGCTGTCCTGGCCACTGCTGCCGAAGTTATCACCCGATCTTTTCTTTCTAGATGATAATTCCCATTCGTACTCACTGCAATATGAATCGAGAAAGCAATCTTTTGAATCATCCATGCTGTTTGTGGATTCCTCAAGGAAATCAGACTCCACTGATTTTTGCTGTCTCCCAACCATCCTAATTGCTTCATGCAGGTCTAGAGGTTTCCAAGAATAGTGTAGAAGCATCTCAGCCCATTCATCCTCCACACTTTGGGGCAAAATGAACTGCATTTTGGGCATCAAGCTGCTCATATGTTCCTGCCCAACGTGATGCATGAATGAAGTAGCATCAGCAAATTTCTCATTGCAACGACAGCACAACCAAAACTGCCACACTTTGTGCTTCTTCCCGAAAGATAAAGCCTCATTCAACACCTCACTCATTGACAACCCATCCTTCAATGAACTAAAATGCTCCTTCAGATCCGATATACTAAATCTCAGCATATCTTTCTTCACATCTACACTCACAGAGTTCCAATACGACCGAACCCAATCCCTCCTCTCATCTGATGTTACGATTTTCCTCGCATTCCCATACTTCTTTCTTTCTCCTGATCTCTGGCCTGACCCCATACCAGAATCCGGCCACCTACTATTGTTATTACCACTATCCTCATCATTGGCCAAGTGAGGGGACTCCGATTTCTGCTGCAGAAGACGAGCCGCAGCCACCCTAACCTCAATTTCCTTCCTCCGCTCCTCGGGCGTCTTGGCCACTTTCTTAATCTCATTCGGCCTCCTTGTCTGAACTAATCTCAACTCCATTGGGTCCTCAGTTACCCTCCCGATAGGAATCAACCGAAACTTCTCATCCCCATTGCCCAGATTCTTCATCCAAGTCGAGATGGAGGCGATGCTCGACCTCTGAATCAACGACCTGAGCTCACTCTGAACGTGGGCCACTCGAGCCTCGGCTGTCGAGATCTTCTGCTGATTCTCCTCTTGCAAGCTCTCCTTGGCAGGGTCCACAGGGTTCTCGATCCTCAAAGCCCTCTCGCACTCCTGCACCACCTCCTCGTACTCCTTCCCCTTGTTCGCAGCTTCGTACAGCAGATTGGCGTAGAAGTGCGCAAACTCGATTGAATTTGGGGACAGGCTGCTGGCCCTCCGGGCACTCTCCACAGCATTCCGAAGATGCCGCTGCTTCGCGTTCGGGTCGTCGATTATCGAGGCCATCTTCACGCAAACGGTTCCCTGAACACGGTGAATCAAAGCCAGGTGGGGAGAACTCTCGTGCTTCGTGCACAAATCCTTCATCAGCCTAAGGGCTTTGGTGTGGTTCCCGCGGCGCATAGCGTTGAGGGCACGCTCGCATTCGGTCTTCACCATGGCATAGGAAGAAGAAGAAGGGCTCCCGTTGCTGTTGGCGCATCCGTACCCGTCCGAATCAGCAGAATCCGATTTCGCGGGTTTTCTGGCCGAGGAAGGGTTTGGGGCGCTACCGTCGGCGGCTGCCGCATCCTCTGACGACGACGCCGCCGCTGTCTTGGAGCGAGGAGCGATGTTCCGCTTCTTGTGCCCCATATCGGATTTTCCCGATGCTACTTAATTGCATGCATAAACTCAAAAATTCATTGGAACACAACGCTTACCGCGCGCGTATGTACTGGCCGTATAAACGCCGGGGGAATACAGAAAAGCAGGCGGAGAGAGGGTGGCTTAGTCTGCAATCCGGGGAGGAAGACGATCGGAGTTTAGAGGAAATACAGAAGAAGCGTATGTACAGTGGAGATACGTATAGAAATGTGTGTATGTATATATGGATAGTGAATTTGGTGGGTGTGAGAGAGAGAGAGCACACCTAACAAGCGGGTTGATAGTGGGGAAATTGTTATGTGCAAAAAAAATTGTGAGTTTGTAGTTTTTGGGGGAAAGGGGAAAAGGGTTAGGAGAAGGATCTCTTTTTGTTAGAATAAGGACAAAAAAAATAGGGTGATTGATTTGGTGGGGCTTTTTTTTTAAATAAAAAAAAATATTTTTTTAATTTTATTTTTCTTAAATATATCACTTGTATAAAAATATACATATATTCTCTTAGAAATTATAATTGTCTAAGTATTAAGGTGTCCAAGTATTAAGGGGTGTTTTGATACAAATATGAATTTATTATTTATTAATGAGAGTTAATTTAAAAAATGTAACGTGATTAGTTGTTAGTAGATTTTGAATTTATATTAAAATAATATTTAAAATAAAATAATTAAAGTTAATTTGATATAAAAGTAAGAGATAGATGATGTGATGTGATAATTAGTTAAAGTTATGTAAATGGATGAATAGTGAATTAAAATTAATGTAATGTGTAAGAATGATTGATCAGTATTATTTAATCGTAGTGATAATATCGAGGATAATAAAATTTGGTTAAAATTGAATTACATTTTGAGTATAAATTGAGTTTTTTTTTAAACAAACACAACCTAACTTGTCTAATATTGATAGTTTGTAATGCCAACCCTTTTGAGTTCCGGTAGTTCTTACTTAACATTTAACTCGCGCATATTATATTCATAAGTATAGTTATTTTTATTACAAAGTGACACTTTGAAAAATAGTAGAAGTTTTGACATTTCATAATATGATTAAACATTTTTATTCAGAAGGTGTCTCGATTAAACCGTGTCACGCAATAATTTGTATTTGAGCTGATATCACTTGTTAGGACCTCTAACTCAAAACTCAATTCTCCAACAAGCCCAACATACAAGTTCAAATGGGGTTCCATTCTAAAACCAATTGGCAATAGAAGGAGTAGCCCACCAAGCTTATATATTAGACTTAAAACCTTTAATTTTTCGATGTGGGATTGGGTTTGCACACCCTATAAACCTCCCCTCAAACACAAAACCACATTGGACCTCCCCTTGAACGAAATTCATACGATCCGACCATCTTGTACCGCCGTTATCATTCACAGAACCCGTCGCCTGACCACCCTTTTTCATCAGGAAGACTTTCGACACAAGGCGGCTCCACGGGGAACATGCCACGTCATCCACATCGCAATGCCGACCCTTCCGGCTCCACGGGGAACATGCCACGTCATCCACATCGCAATACCGACCCTTCCGGCTCCACGGGGAACATGTCACGTCATCCACATCGCAACTGGGCTACCAACCGTGTCTCTGATACCAATTGTTAGGACCTCTAACTCAAAACTCAATTCTCCAACAAGCCCAACATACAAGCTCAAATGGGGTTCCATTCTAAAACCAATTGGCAATAGAAGGTGTAGCCCACCAAGCTTATATATTAGACTTGGAACCTTTAATTTTTCGATGTGAGATTGAGTTTGCACACCCTACATCACTTTATCGTGTGCGATTTCTAATATTTAAAAATAATAAATTACTTCCCAAAATACACCGAAATTGATACAGTTCATGTTGACTAAGTGGTAACTAGCATGGAACCAAATATAGTGTGGCAATTTCATCATTTTTAACTCTAAACTTGACAGTGAACAACTTATTCTCAGATGAAGTGTTTAATCATTGAAATTTTGCATCAACTAGGCCAACAATATAAGAATGAGGAGACAAAATCGCATAGTTTATTTGCTTAATGCTGTGAAGACGATATGTTGGTCCAAGGTACAAAAAGTCATCCAAGAATGACTCAGATATTACTTGCTTCTCAAGTAAATGAACTTTACAAAAATGTTCTTGTTTTCATGTTTCAGTGAAGGGATTTCCAAGTGTAAATTTCACCACACTATTGTATTGTCTGTAAAATCATTTGTTTAACTTTTTTGTGATGTCTGTATTTCAATTTTCATCTACTCTTTCCGTATATGTACCATATCTTCATATAGAGTTCGTAACATTCATAACTTGAAATGTTTTGAACAACTCTGCTAAACTCTCCCCCTTGCAGAAACACTTTCTGATGCAAACACAAAACAATTCTATCATATGAAAATGACTCAATTTAGCCATCCTTTGCAGCTAACAGCAGCAGCAAAAACAGTATGATAATGAGTCTAACACTCTTTTACACAACATAACCACAATACACAAGTCATAAATAATCCACAATACCAACCAAATGAAGGCAATGTTAGGTTTAACACTCTTTTACACAACGTAACCACAATCCACAAGTCACAAATAATCCACAATACCAAACAAATGAAGGTTATGTTTGGTAAACCTACCTAATAAACTAACTTATAGCTTTTAAATGAATTTCGAGATAGCTGATAGCACATGACTCATGACTGAAAAGTTAAAATAAAAGTATTTGATAAAATTAGTAAGCTAGCTAAAATAAAAATTTCAATAGACTTATTTGAAAAGCTACTCAAAAAAACTATTTGAGATAAGCTTGAGCTTTTTTAAAAAGCTCATCCTACCAAACCAAACTTATTTGAATACAGAAACTTATGAGATAAACTCGAGTATTTTTAAAAAAACTCGTCCTACCAAACCAAGCTTATAAACTAATCAAATAAGCATATAAGCTAGCTTATTTGAATACAGAAGCTTATGAGATAAACTCGAGCATTTTAAAAAAATTCATCCTACCAAACCAAGCTTATAAACTAATCAAATAAGCTATAAGCTAGCTTATATGCTCGCCAAACACAGCCTTAGGCAACACTCTTTTACACAACACAACCACACAATCCACAAGTCACAAATAATCCACAATACCAAACAAATGAGAAATCCATCAACACTCACATAGAAGGCGAAGCCGCTACCGAACTCCAGAACTCAATCCCTTTCCTATGCTCCCCAATCGGCATCCTCGACCTAACCTCCTCGATCCTCGCGAAATCGATATCCGCAACCGCAATCCCAGTCGACACCCTATCCGCCAACCGCCCCACAACCGTTCCCCAAGGGTCGACTATCATACTATCCCCATAACTCTCCCTCCCTTCACTGTGCTTTCCTCCCTGCGCAGCCGCTATCACGTAGCACTGCGTCTCGACTGCGCGTGCCCGGAGCAGAACCTCCCAGTGGGCCCCACCAGTCACCTTCGTGAAAGCTGCCGGAACAAGCAGCACGTGGGCCCCACACCCGAACCTCAGCTGCTGGTAAAGCTCGGGAAACCTGAGGTCGTAGCAAACGGTGAGGCCCAGCCGGCCAAACGGGCTTTCGGCAGCCACGACTTCGCGGCCGGGCTCCGTGAAGTCGCTCTCCCTGTACACGGCGCTGCCACCTGGCACTTCCACGTCGAAGAGGTGCATTTTCCGGTAAGTGCTCCGGATTTCGCCACGGTCATCAACGAGCACGTGGGTGTTGCGAAGTCGGGTAGGGTCGTGGGTCGCCTCTTGGAACCCGCCGAGTGAGAGCCAGATGCCAGAGTTTCGGGCCAGGGAGCGGTATTTTCTCATAGTGGGCCCATCTAAGGGCTCGGCTATGGCGAGGCTGTCGCCGGATTTGAGGCCGACGTAGGAGAAGTTCTCCGGGAGGCAGAGCAGCTTTGCTCCGGCGGAGACTGCCTCGTCGACGAGGCGGCGGCAGGTGGAGAAGTTGGCGGCGAGGTCGTTGGTGGAGGTCATCTGGGCGGCGGCTACACGGATTGCGCCGCCGGCGGCCATGGATAGGGCTGTAAAGAGAACTTACACAGAAGATAACAAAAATTCAGTGTGAATTTGGAAACCGCACAATTTCATTTTCTACAGAAGATCGGTGTCTTATTATGAATACTGTTCGCATTTCAGCCAATCAAATAACAATTGGGTACAACAAAAACGAAATCGAGGGCTAGATCGAAAGAGCAGTGTGAATAACAATCCATCTCAAATATGGTTAAGTACTATACTCAAATTATATTAAGGCAAAAAGTGAAGTAAATGAATTGAGAGATACCTCGTATTGTCTATGCGATGCTTTATTAGCTGCGATCTGAGATGATCGCTGTTAACTGAACTTGGCGAGTTTACGAGGGGAGGTATAGAGAGCGGCGATGAGACGGCGGCGAGCGGCTTGGATTGAGAGGAAGAGATAGAGAGACGGTGGAGATAGAGGATGGATTACGTTGAGGTGAGGAATTGTTCTCCTCCTGAGATCCGACGGTTTGAATGATCCGACGGATGATGGAATTGTCCTAAAATTCCAATATTTTATATCTTATACTCTTATTAATAAAAAGAAGTTAGTTTGTTCCTTTACTTGACACCTGTATTATTGCTATTAAAAAAATGTTGGATTCATGCTTTCTTAATTTGACGCGTGGAGCTTTCTTTGAAGAGGTTATTTGATACTCTTAAAACGACGCGTTTGTTTTTTTCATTTGCATACGACGACGTTTTTACACATTTTGACACATCGTATTTTCAGTTCGTGTTATACGCTGGGGAACTCAATTTCATTTTATTTCTATGGGCAACATTGTTTACAGATGCTTCCATTGGGATTGCCGTTCTCAGCCAGCGCTTTCGGTGCATCTTTTGTCGTCGTTTTTGGCAAATTAGTCCGGTTTTGTTTGGCAAAGCATTTGCTGTAACGGCTTGCTTGCTTTTTTTGCTTGTGTATTAAAGGTGTTATTCTACATCTTTTTTTTTTTGCCCAAAATTTCTTGCGCCCTTTTAATTTCATCATTCGTGAGGAGTAATTTGCATATTCTTTTGATCGAAATTGCATCAAATTAACCTAAAAGATCTCACACATTTCTCTAGGATTTACATTTTCTAATATTTGTTTCTTATACTGCAGCTCATAAGGAAATTTGGTGTGCTGTTACACAATAGGTGTTAATGAAGATGCAAATTCAGGAAAGTTAATTTATTTTTTTACAATTTTTATTCACGGTGTAATTTTTGTTGGATTTCCGTTGTGGAGGTCCGCTTAATTTTTGAGTTGGTTTGGGCTATTTTTATTTGTGATGCCTCTACAGTTTAATCACCTATTCTTAGTGTCTTGGATTTTTTTCCCCTTATATGTAATGATTTCACATGTATGATGAAGAATTATATATAAAAAAAATTATTTGTTGTAGTCTTTGGTCAGATATATGTCATCAGGAGTGTTTCGATGCTTTCAAGTGGCATTTTATTAAAATATTTGCCAATAAGATCAGGCTAATGTCTATCAAAGATTTCTTTGCAGCTTTAGCCTTGATTTTTCATTCTTGGGTATGGTGTATGGGTATGTTGGTTCCTTTTGGACCGTTGGATTCTTGCCCTCACCATCTTGATTTGATGTTTACTTTACAAATTATGTCATGTGTATGATTATTAATAATATAATACACCTCAAGCGGTGTATATCTAGCAGATTCTATATCACTTTTCCATTGTACAAGCAAGAAAAGTTTCCTCTGCTATTAAGAAGTGGTATGTTACTATTTGTTCTTCCCGTTCTTCTTGGCAAATCAGAAGAGATCTACTGCAAATAACAATAACAACTACCTACTAAATAAATATTTGCTGTTAGTTATTGGCTTTTCAATATATGGTTGATTTATTTGTTCAGTTTGTAGAGCACAAAATAATATATTTTGTTTGTTTACAGAAGGATAATCTCTGCAATTTATACCTATATGAAATGATATAGTCATTTTTTGTGGTTATAGATTCTGATGTATTAAGAACCTACACATGCTATATTATTCTCTTTCAGTTTTGCATTTGGTAGTGATTATTTTGTACAGGTTCTTAAAGAAAGTGCTCAAATTTATCTGTTTGCCTTTTGATAAAGTTAAATATTATTATAATCTCTGTAACAATGTAAAAGTATTTGTTTAGGCTATAGATCCTGTGTTTTTTTCTGTGTGCAGATGAATGGTATTTACTTTTTGCAAGATTTTGGGTTAACATACTTTGGCTAACTCTAATTCTTTGTTTTTGTCATTGTTGTTTTGAAGGTATTCCTCTATTTGGTTCCTTCAAACTCTTGGTTTGGTTCTGGTGGAGTTCATAGGTTTGAGTTCCTGTAGCTACAAGGTAATAGAATACTCTTTACATTTTCTTATACCTAAATAATATATATAGATTTTACTGTTATGCATAAGAACTTTTGTTTATTTGTTGTGTTAATGCATATATGTACATAGTGAACTTTGATTAAGTAATAGCTACTTACTGCAGTAATTTGTTGCTATTGTATGACTTTCAAATATTTTTCTATAACTATATTCTGGCCCATATATGTATATAAATAAATGTGCCGAACATGAAAGTATCGAGTGGAATGGGATGCATGCACGCAATGCTATACGGTTCTGATGGCAAAAGGCTAATCCCTTTCACTTGAACTGAATTGTATGAGGCAGAACAACAAATGTTCAAAATTATGCAGACCAACATATTTAATATGTAGATAGTAACAGATGTCTCTTTAAACTCACCAATTGCTAATTCAATAGAATGGCCTGTCTATAAGGGTAAACTAACCAACTTCTTATTATTCAGAGTGCAACCTTATTTAGGTGGTATCAGACAACATTTATTTCATTGTCTATGTCTTTGTGTAAAAGAATATTACTGCATTAATGTATTTTCAGAACTCTTTATATGCATAGATAATTTTAGTTGAAGAATAGTTGTTTCCAAGGCTCTTTAAAATATGATTTGAACCATCAAATTAA